AAAGTTGGTGTGTATTTTTATAATTTTAGGACATGGAAGAGTTTTCTAAGCATGTCACAAAAGCCAGAAGCCATGAAGAAACAAACAAAAGATCAATAGGTCTTAATATATAACAACTTTAAACTTCTGCACCAAAATATACCCCAAATCAGGTCAACTGAGAAACAATAATTGCAGTCAGGCTGACATTCTTAGGATGGAAAGAATTCTTAGAAATCACTTTTTACATGTGAAAACATCAACAGGAAAAGCAGGCACAGGACTTAACATGGACATTCACACACATTAGAAGAACACAAATGACTCAAAACATGTAGAGAGGTGCTCAACTTCACGAATGATGTTTTAAAAGGCAAATCAAGGCAACATGTATTTATGCCTATCAGACAGGCAAAATTTTAAGTCAGACATCACCCATTGATCACCCAACAATCATTACACTTAGGAGTCATATACTGGCAAGGGTGCTGGGGCCTCACACAGGACATCATCAGAAGTGTGAATTAGAAGACAGCACTTGGCTACATGAATCAAAACGTACAAAGTCTATACCCTTCGGCCTCGTAAGAAGTTCTGGTAGCACAGTGGGTAAGGCATCTGGCCGCTAACCGTCAGGCATGATGTCCTCCTACAACTCTTCTGGTCTTCAGTTACTGGTGTTCAATGCATCAAATCTATTCTTCAAATGGCCTCTAAATTCAGGTGGGCCACATTCAAGGTTGGAAGCTCTGGTGGTGTAGTACCTAAGGCATTTGACTGCTAACCTGAAGGCTGATGGTTCAAACCCATGTATGGATATTATCCTATCATTGACAGCACTGTACTTCAGGATGAATCTTGAGATGTTGTTTTTGATGATGATTTCAACATGATTCCTCTTCAATTTGCCATTCCCAATATAGTAGACCATATGATTATCTGAATCAAAATGGCCAATACCACCAGTCCATTTCAGTTCATTAGAGGCTAGGACAGTGACCTTTACGTGTTCCATTTCATTTTTTT